CAAGGGTGATTCCAGCTCTTCTTGGTGGTTTTTTATTGTTGGCCTGTTGGTGGAGAAGGAGGTAGTGGCTCTCACTTAGTAAGTGACTTTGCAGGAGGTGTGGGTATAGTTGTGTCTTGTGGGGACTGTTGTTATCTCTCACTCAATTAGACACAAATTACAATTGAATAACCTTCAAAAAACTTTTCAGTCTTGCAGGTCCGGAGGGTCCTTGGGGTTGCTGGAAAGCAGAACGTGTTCTTAAGCCCCGGGAATCTGCGAGAGCGCTGTCTCTTTAAATATCCAAAATAGTCAAGCCACTTTTAGGCCTCCAAATTGGTGGCACCCTCAAGACTGGCAAAAGTCCACAGTTTAGCCCACCTTTCTCTTCACCTTCTCTTTTACTCCCCAGTCACCGGAGCAGTCCTCCGTGCATTCCCTGGCTAGCAAAGCTGATTTTTTAGGTTAATTTTTAAGTCCTACCAGCACTCAGGAATCTCCAAGCTGTCTGTGCCGTCAGGATTGCTCAGGATCGCTGCCAGACCACAGCTTTGTATGTCTCCTTTTTTGGTATTTTCACACAAATTCTTCTGCTAGTTGGGGTTTAGTCCACTTCTGTATCCTTCCGTTTAAGACTCAGGGGTCCAGGATTATCTTCTGTGTCTGTGTTAGTTGGTTTCCCTTTTCTTTTTTGAAGAGGGTCTGTGCAGTCTTTCTGACTAGTCCGCCATCTTGCCGGAACTCTCCACAGCAATGTTCTTAGATATAAATCTTTGAGTCTCATTTAATAGGAGCTCTGATGGTTATATGTGGTTATAGCATTTGGCTACTAAGCAAAAGGATGGCAGTTGGAACCCACCAGCCCCTTCGCAGGAGAAAGAAAGATGAGTCAGTCTGCTTCAGTAAAAATTTACAACTTTGGAAACCCTACAGGGCAGTTCTATCCTGTCCTATAGGATTGAATTAGGATCAACTTGATGGCAGTGGGTTAGGTTTTGGGTTTATTGCCTCATTTATTTTGTTTATTTTTGTCCTATTCATTTTTATACTCTGTATGCTCCCATAGGGAGCTCTGATCGCATAGTGCCTAAGGCACTTGACTGCTAACCAGAACTCCCTAATGTACTTCCTTAGTGATACTGCCTCAGAAACCCAAAGAGGGTTTTCTATGAGTTGAAGACAACTTGACAGCACATAACAACAACAACAACAACAATGCTCCAATAAGAGCCCTGGTGGCACAGGCACAGTGGGTTCAGTATTTGGCTGCTAACCAAAAGACTAGCAGTTCAAATCTACCAGCCACTACTCAGAGAAAGATGTGGCAGCCTGCTTCCGAAATGATTTACAGCCTTAGAAACCTTATAGGGATGTTCTTCTCCATTATATAGGGTTGTTCGTGTCTGTATTGAGTTAATGGCAATGGGTTTTTGTTTCATATATGGTCTTATATGGAGCTCTGGTGGCATAGTGCCTAAGGCATTTGACTGCTAACCAGAATGTTCAAACCCACCAGCCACTCCACAGAAGGAAGACTGGGCAATCTACTTTTGTAAAGATTTACCACTTTAGAAACCCAAAGGGGGTCGCTATAAGTCAGAATCGACTTAATGCCAGTGAGTTTGGTTTTTCTGGTTTATATGGTCCTATAGTGGAAACCACCTGAAATCCTTTTTGGAAGGAGGTAAAATAAAAATATATATTTTTTTAATTCCAGAAAATAAATTGTAATTTCAAGGAGCTCTCAAATTCATTTATCAGAAGATTAATTAAAAAGTATTTTCTATATTTTCTTTTAAGTCTAGAACATAAAAGAGAAAGAGAAACTGAGAGCACTGCCCCTACTGTCAAGAACTTACTCAAATAGAAACCAGAAAAAGTAGAAATTATTATCTTCCCTACCAATTATAAGCTCCCAATCCAAATTCTCATCAAAAGAAAAACAATGACAGGAATTTATGAGAAATTATATTACTCAGCAGAAAAGAAAATGCAATATAAATTTTCTATTTGCCATTATCACATATCACACAGGTGTTATTTCCCAGATAACATACTGATGGTCACTGTCATGGGTTGGATGGTGGCCCCCAAAATTTATGTCCATGTTCTTACTCCTAGAATCTGTGAATGTGACCTATTTTGGAAAAGGGGTCTTTGCAGATATAATTAATTTAAGGATACTAAGATGAGAAAATCCAGGATTATCCAGATGGGCCCCAAATCTAACAAGTATCCTTGTGAAAGACAGAAGAGGAGGAGAAACAAACAGATGGAGGGCTAGAATGTGGAGAGGGAGATAGAGATTGGAATGATGCAGCCATAAACCAAGGAATAATTGGAACCTCCAGAAGCTGGACGAGGCAGTGAAGAATTTTCCTCTAGAACATTCAGAGGGAGTGCAGTCCTGCTGAAACCTTGGTTCTGGACTTCTAGCCTCCAGAACTGTGAGAGAATTAATTTCTGTTGTTTTAAGCCACCTACTTCGTGGTAATTTGTTACAGTAGCTCCAGGAAATAAATGTTTTGCTTCTCTATTGGGTGGCTGGACTGTGAGCTTTATAGCCAAATAAACATGCTTTTGCAAATCTCTGAGCGTCTTCTTCCCAACCTGGCTGGGAAATATGGGCATAGGTCAGAATTCTAGAAACTGCTACTGGAATCCTCCTATATTTTAAAGTAATAATTTAAGCCCAAGTGAATCGGTTGCTTTAGTCAGATTCAGTTTTTCATACTTTATCATCCTTCCACTCTGATCGATGTCATATTCTTGAAATATAGTCAGAGGTAATAAATTCCTAACCTATCCCTGACCATTTTCAGTAAAATGTGTCAGGAAGGTAAGCTCCAGACAGGTAAAGGAAGGATATCACAGTTTCTCAGGGTGCACTTTTCTACTACAATGTTCTTCCAAGGGGATCACCCCCTTATGCTTCTTCTCCCTCTCTGAACAGCCTACCCACTCTATTGTTGGTTCCTGTACCTTTAAATATTGGTGTCCACTTGGATTCACTCAAGGAGCTCTGGTAGCATAGTGGCTAAAGCACTTGACTGCTAACCAGAAGGCTGGCAGTTCAAACCCACCAGCCACTCCTCGGAAGGAAGGTTGGGCAATCCAACTTCAGTAGTGATACTGCCTCGGAAACCCAAGGAGGGGTTGCTATGAGTCGGGGCTGACTCGACGGCACACAACAACAACAAAGGATTCACTCATTTGCTACCTTTTTTTCTAGTGCTACACATTAGGTAATATTTTTTACTTTCTCCAACTGTCCCATGATAGGATGGGTGCTGTGTGTGTGTATGCATGCATGCACTTGTGACAGCATGCGTGTGCTGCATATAAGGCTACATGCTTATATGGGTGTGTGTGCTGAATCCAAAATGTGCACACCCAGCTGTGGTCATTTGTAGGACAGCCTGCACAAACACAGCAGGACAAGCTAAGGGAGCACATGCGCAGGCCAGGCCTCTGCCCAAGCTCGTCTCAGAGAGGGTGGGGAAGCAAAGCCTCTTCACAGAGAGGAAATAGGGAGTGCCCAGCATGCAGGTTAAAGCATCAGGCTGCTATCCAAAAGGTGGGTGGTTTGAACCCACCAGACACTCAGCAGAAAAGGCAGTCTTCTCCAGTAAAGATTTACAGCCTTGGAAACTCAATGGGGTCACCATGACTAGAGGGCAATTAGTTTTGTTTATTTGTTTGTTTGTTTAGCACTGCAGTGCCAGAAACCAGCGTACTGCCTCCATTTCTTCATCCAGTGTCTTCACCACATTTACTTCCTCACTGGGCCGCTTCCACAGTGGCCTGCAATTATATACCATGGTGTCCATCAGGGAAACTTTATCTCACTCTCCTCATGCTTTTCTTGGCTCAAGGACTGTTGTTCAAACATGCCTGTATAAGTCATCTTGTAGGCGCTGGGTAAACATCTGCTAGTCTTCTGATTATTACTGTTTGTCTAATCCCAAATTAATTACACTGGTTATTTCAGAATTAAGTGTCTCCTCATTGTTTACCTGAACACGTCTAAGGGGCTCAGCTTGGTGAACCGAGGACACAGTTGGGCTTCTATGGTCTGCGAAGACCCTATCTTCCTTACTGCACAGCTTCTGCCAGGTCCTAAGGGCAATCCTGCATGTCACAGCCTTTCTAGATGTGCTTACTCCTTCGCTCTGCCTGGCGAAGAATTCTTCCTTATTGCTTCATCCTAGGACAGTGTCATGTTTAGCACTTCACGAGTGTGAGAACCAGGAAGCAGAACTCTAGCAGAATATTACTCATTATTAAATAGATTTGGATGCTAACTCATCTCCTCCAGATACAATAATTATTTTTAGTTAAGGATGGAAAAAATGCTGGTATCTTATGGTATGTGTCCCAAATCTAATGTAGTATATAACAAATGTTGAAGTGTAATTTCTTTCCCCTTTTCAAATAAGAAAAATAATTCCACTTGAATACACGAGATCAGAATGTTTATCATTTTTCTGATTTTTTTTTTTTTTTTTTACATACAGGCTGGTGTCCAGGGATTTGTCTTCTAGTTGGGACATGCATTATGAAAACAGTTGTTTCACATATTTGTTATTTTGGTCTTTTTTTTTTTTTTTTTTTTTTTTTAGGCCAGAGTTCGTATGCCAAAAGAGCAACTGGAACTTTTAAAGTGAGTGAGATTTCTTAATATGTAAGGCTTTCCAGCATGGTTTTAAATATTGAAATATCTGTAGTTTTATAAACTAAATATTACTTTTCTATAATATTATACCTTTTCTCTTCATGCCAGCCAAGAGTGTTTTCCCCCTTCCCCCAGCATTTACTCTTGTCCAGCATTTAAAAAAAAAAAAAAAAAACTTTTTTGAAAATAATGTATATGGATAAGTTAGGGAGGGAGGGTAGTTTTTCAGGACTTGTTTCCATCCTATAGACTCAAATAAAAATAAATATAATATTTAAAATATTAAATATAGCATTGTTGTAGAACAACATAAGAATAGTCTTTTTAAAGTAAAAACAGAAGAGGTTTATTGAGAGATGGAGATGGTCCAGACTGGGAAAATGTCCAAATTCACAGAGTGGAAATGGCTGCTTCACCAAACAATGAGGAAGAAAAACATAAAGTTGAAGCAGGAACTAAAAGTTTCAAAATCATAATTGGCTATAAGACAATCAGGGGAGACAAAGGAAGAATATATAAAAGCCCAGATTTAGCAGGGATAGGTAGAAAACCTATATATGAGATGACAGGAGTGGTTAAAGGTACATAATTTCAAGAATAGTACTGTTCAGTTTATTACATGATAGTCACAAGACAACAGTAGGATAGGTTTTTCAGGTAACCTGCTATAAAAATTCTTTCTCAATCATGTCTGTTTCTGGGGTCTATTGTGTAAGCTATCACATTTTGTATGTTTGACCTTAGTGGAAAGTGGTCACCTTAGTGACCTTTGAGAACACATTGTAATATCCTACAACTGCCAGATATCAGAGAAAAAGAATGTCTCCTTTAGGGTATATCATCATCACAGTTAGGTCAGCAACAAAGTTAGAGAAATTGTTGTCAGAAAAGGCAACTTTAAAATTCAACATGGATTCTAGACTCATGTCAAAACTTTAAGATGGAGTTAAGGCTCCACTTCGTTACTGCTCTATTTACATGCACCAAGTGCCTCTGATTTTAAGCTCTCATACAGCTTGTACAGATTGACCTGCCTCTTGTCCTTTATTTCTTTAATGAACATCCTTCCTCCCTCCCTCTTTCCTTCCTTCTTTTTTCCCCCAGCTGCATGTACATAGAGAAATGCTAGAAATGATGTCACCAAATATTAACATTGATTATTTCTGGGACTTTGTGTGACTTTTCTTTCTTATACTTTTATGAATATCCTCTCTTTTTTTATATAGCGAGCATGCACATTTAAAACAAAACAGCAATATTTTTTATTACTTTAAGGAACTATTTACCCTTTAATATAGCATATCTCCTTCTGTGGGGCATTCCTTAAAAGATATACACTGGTATGTGTTTTCAATATTTACAAGCAATAAAAAATTGAAAACAACCAAATGAGAAAAATAGCCCAGTGCTTAAGTACATTAGAGTATATCCATGTAGTGGAACATATGAAGCCAGTTAATTAATTTTAAAATATATTTAATGATTTGGAAAATACAGTGAGACACAAAATTATTAAGTATAATATCTGTTCCATTATTGGATTTATGCATAGAATAAAAACTTTTGGAAACAAACTAAAATTTAGCAGTGTTTATTTCTTCTAGACTTTTGCTTTTTCCAAACTTTGAACATGTATTCTTTAAAAATATTGGAAAAATACTATAAACATAGTACTTTTTTAAGCATAAAGAAATACCTATTACCTTGACATTTTCTGTTCTCTCTACCAATAACTTTTAGACTTTAAAAACAGCAGAATCCCTTCTTCAAAAGTAAAATCTTAAACAAACTTTCTTTAAAGCAGATGGCTCGATTCCTCTGAGGCATATACACAGAAATAGGATATAGTTTGTAAAATACTGCTCTGCCCTATAGTTGAAATGCAAGGTGTTTCCTAATTTTAAGGAGCTTACAATTTAGGATTTGCCTGTGTACGTTCTCACAGCATAACCCAGCCTCTGGTCAGCACGGCTAGAGCTCCCCTGAGGGAAGTGCAAGGTTGACTCAAACCTGTATGCCAGGGCAGAGCCCACCGCCAAGCACAGGGATGCCCTCAAGAAAGCTTTCTATGAATGTCATTTGTCCATGTGTCAAATCTAGTGAAATGTTAATTAATCAGAGAAATGAGCATCCCTGATGTTCCACTCATTCCAGAATTTATTTCTTCTACAATATAAATTACCTCTTCTCTTTGCTGAAGGAACTCTATTAGCATAGTGGTTAAAGCATTAGGCTGCTAACCAAAAGGTCAGCAGTTAGAACCCACTATCCACTCCACAGGAGAAAGATGAGGCAGTCTGCTTCCATAAAGATTTACAGACTTGGAAATCCTATGAGGCAGTTCTACTCTGTCCTGCAGGGTCACTATGAGTTGGAATTGATTGGATGACAATGGGTTTGGTGAATTTTTTGGTCTCTTTCCTGAGGACTCCCTGGGTGGTGGTAGCAAATGGTTAAAGCTCTCAGCTGTTAACTAAAAGTTTGGAAGTCCAAGTCCACTCAGGGATGTTTCTATTTTTGAAACCTCAGCCACTGAAAACCCTATGGAGTCAGTTCTACTCTGACCACATGGGTTCACCATGAGTTTGGGGCAACTTGACAGCAACTGGTTTTTCTCTTTGCTGATATGCTGAAGTCCCATACCAGTTGATTACATGTAAATGAAATTTGCACCTTTCCTCCTTTCTCATTGGATTTCTCCATTTACAGAAAGGAAAGTCAAATTTTGGAAAACAATTTCCGTGAAATTCTATTTTTAATAGAACAAGTAGATGTTCTAAAGGCATTACTAAAAGAAATGAAGGATGATGGGCACAATCATGGCTGGAATGTTCCTCTTGAGGAACAGGACAAGGACATTCTCGATGAGGTAAGAAAGAGATTGGGGTAGATGATTTTTAGTATTTCCTTCCAGTGTCACTTCTCAATTACTTTTTTGAGTGGATTAGTTTTCCTACTGCTAACCGAGATTTGGCTTATGGCCTCTTCTTTAAAATTCTTTCCTAACATTAATTTCCTTTCACTAAAGCTGGCCCTTTGGGATGTACTTTTTCATACATGTTGTATCACAGAGGAAACTTTATATTGCACTATGACTTACTTCTCACCAAAATAAATAACTAATTCTGTTTTATCTTTTAGGGGGGGAAAAAAGGTCATTCACTAATGACATTCTCTGAATGTCCGTACACAAATACTTAAATAGCAAAATATTTTTATTCATTGCCTATATCTATTTAGTCCAATCAGCACCAGGCAAAATTATGAAAAAAAAAAAAAACCAGTGAAATTATTTTTGCTCTTCCTCTATCTTTATTATCACCATCTTCCTTTCCTTGCTTAATGTCTACTTTTTGAAATGCATATAAATCTGACACTAACCACTACTGCTGGCCAGCCTCACTTTGGCAGGTCACTGTGACAAAGTGCTTATGTCTTATTAGAACTTATACTATGTGTCCTTCAAGATAATCTGCTTTTTTCAAAAACAAATCAGAATATCCTTATGAGCCCAACATTAATCCAAATGGATGAATAATTTCTAGTAACAGCAGTAAAGAAGCACCGTAAACTTAGAAAAGAAGAGATTTTCAGGCTGAGAAGTGACAGCATATAGTGAAAAGTAATATGCTTGTTCCTTTATGATTTTATTATATAAGCAACCATCTACTTTATGTAAACTACTTTGATTCCTAAGTAATTATAGAAAATTCAAGACTTGTTTACTAAGCATAGGACACTAAGAGGAGACCAGGAGATCAGAAAGCATCTTGGGTGAGTCACTAGACACATGTTAGCTTTGATTACTTCATCTGTCTGAGAGGGAACTCGCCTACAGAGCTGTGAAGTTTATATAAGATATCTAAGGCACTTTGCACAGAGCCTGGCTCAGAGTAGGTGCTTAATAAATGTTTGCTATAATTATTCAGATTAGGGAATTTTGGTCTAAAATGAAAAAGTAAATTGTCAAAACTCAGCAGAGATTATTTTTAAATTTCTACAGGAAATATCAAAGTTGGTAAATTATGTACTTAAAAAGTTGAGAGAGGATCAAGTCCAGATGGCTGATTATGCCCTGAAGTCTGCTGGTAAGTATGGAAAAAAGTAAAAAAAAAATAACATAAAAAATTAATGCTTAAAAATTATCTCTATTCCCTATATCTCTTTATTAGGAAGACAGATTACTCTATCTGATAACTTGAAAAGAAAAAAAACTTAGTAAATCTAGTAGTAAAAAATATAATAGAAATGTTCTAGTTGATTGCTTTCTCAGTTCAAATCACAGAGGGAGGAATTACTATATTAGTATAAACTTAAAGGGACAACAAAGCTGAGATAGTACAGTGAGCTGGGGAACACAGAAAATGTTGTAAGGATAGTAAACATTATCACACACACACACACACACACACACACTGCCATCAAGTCAGATCTGACTCATAGCGACCCCTCCTTGAGTTTCCAATGCAGTATCACTAGAGAAGTGGATTGACCAATCTTCCTTCTGAGGAGAAGCTGGTGGGTTTGAATCTTCTGGTTAACAGTCAAATGCCTTAGGCAACATTTTGTATTATTATATACTAAAATGACTTAGAACAATTAATCCAAATGCATTGTTAGGGATAAATGATGGTGCTTAATGGCTGTAAATAAAACAATGTGCTCTATATCCTCTAGTTAAAATGACTTCTTAAAGGATTATACTGTGGATCATTAACCTTAATGTCTACAATACTCATCTTGCTTAAAATTGAGCACTTGGATCAGAATGTTTTATTTAGATGTGTGTAAATGAATGTTTAGAGAGAGATACCAAAATAACAGAGCTTGCTTGAACCTGAATTCACTGAAACTTGTAAAGGATATGGATTGAGACAAAAATGGGAAGGGAGGGAGAAGGTAATCCACAGAGGATTTTTTTTCCCTAATCTTGGCATTCTGATGCACTCTTTTTTATGCCTTCTTGCTTCTTTTCTATTGAAACTATTTACAACTTCCATTTGAAAATGTCATGATGACAAATGTAGATGGATGGACATCTCATGTAAAACAAGGAAAAGTAAAAATGTTATGGCTTCTTGGTGAACCAGCCCATATTAGGGTGGGTTTATTGTTGTTGTTGTTGTTTTTCCCTAGTATATCTAGCTGAGGGCAGGCTCCAGTTGCAGAGCTGCACAGTAGTGGCAGTGAGTTGGATGTTACAACTCAATCCCATCTTTCTATCTAGAAGGACCAGAAATGGGAGTACTATGGACCAGAGAGTGTGGAGAGAATACATGAGATGAAAGAACTGGGAAGAAACCCCCTAAGTTTGTGTATGTATGTGAGCAACTTCCAGACTCACCAGTTAGCTGAACATTCATGGGGACAGATCCAAAAGAAAATTTTAAGAACTGAGCAAAGATTTAAGCCATGCCTCAAGTCTTAGACTAATCTCTGAGTGGAACATGCACAGAACAGGCCCATGACCAAAGCTGTGAAAACTTGTGACATTGGAACTACACCCACTAGAAATGAGAAAGAACTTGAAGTCTGAATATTTCTGTGTTGATTTCCTGATGAAACAAACAAACAAACCAGAACATGTTACATTGGATTACTACAGACTCAGAGTCTCAACAATATAGGGTACAATTCAAAATTACTAGACAGACAAAGACCTAAGAAAATATGGTCAATACATGCTACTCCTATGATGACAGAGATGTTAGAGTTTTCATGCGAAAACTTTGAAGCAACTAGTATAAGTATACTTCATGAAGTGAAGTTAAATACACTTGAAATGAATGGAAAGATACAAGTTTTCAGTTGAGCACACACACAAAAAAACTATTACAAAGAACTAGGTAGAAATTTTGCAACTGAAAAATACAATACCTGAAGTAAATGGATTCAGTGAATTGGCTCAATAAAAGAACAATGACAGAGAAAAGAATCAGTGAAATTGAAGATAGAATAATAGAAATCACCCTGTCTAAACAATAGAGGGAAGAAAGATTGGGAATAAAATGAACAGATCCTCAGGAACCTGTGGAACAATATCAACAGGTCTAACGTTTTTTATCCTTGCAGTCTCACAAGGAGATAAGATATTAATGCAGAAAAATATTTTGAAGAAATAATGCTAAAAACATCCCAAATTTGGTGATAAATATAAATTTATAGATCTAAGAAACTCAGCAATCCAATACAAGATAAACTAAAAGAAAAATAGCATACACATCATAGTTGAATTGCTTAAAATGAAAAATGAAGAAAAAGCCTTGAAAGCAGTTAGAGAGAAAAAAGCACACATTGCATATAGAAGAGCAATGATACAAATGACTTCAGATTTCTTATCAAACTCTTTAACAGATTCTTATCAGAAATCTATATAAGATGCTTAAAGAAAAGAAATGTCAGTGTAGAATTCTAGATCCAGAAAAAATATCCTTCATGAATGAAGGTGAAATAAATATATTTTAGATGAAGGAAAACTAAGAAGTACTTGATAACAGATCTCCTAAAGATAGTTATTCAATCTTAGGGGAACTGGTAGCAAAGGTAAACTTGAAATTTTAGGAATAAAGAGCAGCATATAAATATTTGAATTAATATAATATGTATATCTGTTGAAAGGAATAATTATAATATTGCCTAATATGATACTCTAGGAGCTCTGGTAGCATAGTGGCTAAGGCACTTGACTGCTAGCCAGAAGGCTGACGGTTCAAACCCACCAGCCACTCCTCAGAAGGAAGATAGGGCAATCTACTTCAGATTGATACTGCCTCAGAAACTCAAGGAGGGGTCACTATGAGTCAGGTCCGACGCGACGGCACATAACAACAACAATATGATACTCTGGTGGTGCAGTGCCTAAAGCATTTGACTGCTAACCAGAAAATTGTCTGTTCAAACCCACCAGCAGCTCTGCAGAAGGAAGATGAAGCAATCTCCTTCCATAAAGATTTACCACCTGGGAAACCCAGTGGAGGTCACGGTGAGTCAGACTTGATTTGATGGCAGTGGACTTGGTTTTTGGTTTAATATGATAATAATTCAAGTAGACATAATACACATGACAACTCTATAGAAAAAGTGGGTGAGGTTAAACAGACCCCTGTGTTTGTAAAGATCCCATTTTTCACATGACATGGTAAAATATTAAAAACCAAATTCACTGCCATCGAGTTGATTCTGAGTCATAGCGGCCCCCATTGGATTTCTGAGGTAGTAAATCTTTACGGAAGTAGATTGCCCAGTTTTCCTTCCACAGAGTAGTTGGTGGGTTTGAACTGCCAACCTTCTGGTTAGCAGTCAAATGTCTTAGGCACTATGCTATTATGCCACTGGTAGCACCATGTCTAATGCATTTGACTGCCAACCAGAAGTTTGGCAGTTCAAATGTCTTAGGCACTATGCCACTAAGCCACTGGTAGCACAGTGTCTAAAGCATTTGACTGCTAACCAGAAGGTTGGCAGTTCAAACCTATCAGTCACTCAGCAGAAGGAAGACTAGGAAATATACTTCAGTAAAGATTTACCACCTTAGAAACCCAATGGAGTTACTATGAGTTGGAATAGACTCAAGGGCAGTGATTTTGGTTTTGTTTTTTGGTAAAATATTAGTTCTAAGTAGACCATGAAAGTTTAAACTAACTAACTCATTCACTGCCATGGAGTCATTTTCAAGTAATAGTGACCCCTCCTTGGGTTTCCAAGGAGGTATCACTACAAAAGTAGATTGCCCAACCTTCCTTCTGAGGAGCCGCTGGTGGGTTTGTACCAACAACCTTCTGGTTAGCAGTCAAATGCCTTAGGCACTATGTCATCAGAGCTTCCAGACCATGAAAGTTTAGTGATGTATATTTTAGTCACTGGAGCAAACACAGAAGCTGCAACAATGGGCTCGAGTATAGAAATGATTTTGAGGATGGTGCAGGACCAGGCAGTGTTTCACTCTGCTGTACATAGAGTCGCTGTGATCCAGAACTGATTCAACAGCACCGAACAATAGCAACAACAGAACAAACACTCAAAAGAGAGAGAGAAAAAAATCAAAAAGCCAAAAGATAAGTTAAACAAATTTTTTAAAAATATATTCATTTAATGTAAAAGAAGACAGGAAAAGCATAATAGATGAAGAACAGAAAGGACAAAGAGGAAATAGGTAACAAAATAATAGACTTAAATTTGGCCCAGTTAATAATGATATTAAATGTAGATAGTCTGTTTTTGTCATTGTTAGGTGACATTGAGTTGGCTCAGACTCATAGCAACAAATAGAACAAGACACTGCCCAGTCACGCACCTGCCTCAAAATCCTTGCTATGCTTGAACCAATTGTTGCAGCCACTGTGTCAATCCATCTTGTTGAAGGTCTTCCTCCTTTTCATTGACACTCTACTTTACCAAGTATGATATTCTACAGGAATAGTCCCTTCTGACAACCTGACCAAAGTAGATGAGACAAAATCTGGCCATTCTCTTTTCCAAAGAGACTTCCAGAAGCATTTCTTTCAGGATAGACTTGTTCATTCTTCTGGCTGTCCATAGTATTTTCAGTAGTCTTCATCAAAACCATAATTCAAAGGCATCAAATTTTCTCCAGTCTTCCTTATTCATTGTCCAGCTTTCACATCCATAGGAGGCAATTGAAAATACTATGGCTTGGATTAGGCACATTTTAGTCTTCAAAATGACCTCTTTGCTCCTTAACACTTTAAAGAGGTCTTTCGCAGCAAATTTGCCCAATGCAATACATAGTTTGATTTCCTGACTGCTGCTTCCATGGACCCTGATTGTGTATCCAAGCAAAATGAAATCCCTGACTTGAATCTTTTCTCCATTTCTCACGATGGTGCTTATTGATCCAGTTCTGAGGACATTTGTTTTCTTTATGTTGAGGTGTAATCCATACTGAAGATTATAATCTTTGACCTTCAATAGTGTTTCAAGTCTTCTTCAATTTCAGCAAGCAATGTTGTATTGTCTTCATACCAGTTATTAACAATAACCAGTCTTCCTCCAATCCTGATGCTGCATTCTTCCTCATATAGTTCAGCTTCTCAGATCATTTGCTCAGCATACAGACTGAATAAGTATG